TAAGATAATAATGAGGGTTTGTTAACAACTGGAAAAGCTAAGTAACTCATTTCTGTTAAACTGTGTATTGTCACGAGGCTGTGGCTTACCCATAATGCTCCAGAATGTTACTCCTTTTGGCCGCTACATGGCTTCTCTCTGGCGGCTTCGCTCTGCCTTCCTCTCCTCAGAATTCTCCTTGTCTGGTAGCTCTGCCTATACTTCCTACCTGGCTACTGGCCAATCTGTGTTTATCCATCAACTAGTAAGAGAAACATATATACAGAAGGATGTCCCCCATCACCTGGCTGTCCTGCAACTCTCTCTGTAGACCAGGTTGACCTCAAACTGAAGTTGCTTTCTTGTTCCAGGTCAAGCCACTAGTTTGCCCTGGAGTTAAGAGTCAGTGCTCAGCACAGAGCCCTTCCCATGACCGACGGATGGTACCTCATCAGATGGCACTTTGGGTCTGAACACTACCCTACTCTACCACACAGATTATATTTCTTTTCTCCAGTGACTGAGAGGATAGAAAAAGGCCAGTCATTAGATCAGCAAGTCATGGCCATAATTCATAAAGGCATGTGTACAATTTTGAAAAAACAGGACACTAGATAAAGTTCCTAAAGACCTTATTAGCAAGTTATGACCAGAACATAATTTTTTTTATTGAATCTTAGGGAATTTCACATTACCCCAATTCCACTCACCCCTCTCAGTTCCTCCATAGTCTCCCCTCTCTCCCTGCAGTGGACCCCCTCTCCTCCAATAGGGAAAAAAAAATCAAACCAAAACAAGCAAGGAAGCAAACAAAAGAACAAAAGCTAAACAACAACAACAGAAACCTCTTCTCCATCTTTCTCACCTTCTCCAACACCTCTTCATTTGTTCTGGTGGCATTGGGATCTTTGGTGTGTCACACAGTATACCCTTTTGTTCAATCAGCTTTACTTGCAAAAGTTAATTGCAGTAAGCCACTGGTCTGGTTCAAGGCCTTTGGTTTCTGGTACACCCTCATCACTGGATCCTCATGGAAATTCTTTTTGGATATCTGGTGGCAGCCTCAAGTCATGGAAATCCTGTGTGTTTGTTTGTTTATTTGGTTTTTCAAGACAGGGTTTCTCTGTAGCTTTGGAGGCTGTCTTGGAACTTGCTCAGTAAACCAGGCTGGCCTCAAAACTCACAGGAATCTGCCTGTCCCTTCCTCCCAAGTGCTGAAATTAACAAGCTCTATATCTACAGCAGTTACTATATAATTGAGCTAATAATATAAAAGCTGTAGCAAGAAACTAGCTACAAGGCCTGTTATGTACCATCTCTATGAATGAATTCTGACAATTTTCACCACCAAGTTCTGTATTCTGTGGAGTCAGGCCAACATCTTGATTTTGTTCTGCTGTGATACCAGCTTCTCCGAGTAGTCTCAAAATTACTACAGTAGTCAGCAGATACCTCAAAGAGAACATTGACCACATTTACATTATCTCCCCCCCCCCCCCCCCCGTGTGTGTGTGTGTGTGTGTGTGTGTGTGTGTGTGTGTGTATCTGTCCACACATACATGTGATGGGTATACACAGATGATCCTTTATCTTTGCATCATTTGAAGATGTCAGCATCATATTTTTCTCTTAAACTTCAATATTTCTAGAAGTGATAACGTTCCTCTATACAGCTACAGTATAATAATCAAAATTAGGAAATTAAAATAGATCTGATCTGTTAATTTTCTAATGTCCTCTGCAATTGAAATATATTCTAAATCATGTTGCATGGTCTTGTTTTTATGTCTTTAACTGAGTCAGCTTCTTTGTCTATTTCACATACTGAATTTGTTCCTTATATTTAGATTCAGGCTCTACGTTTTCACCATAGTACTATAAAAATGCTATTGTTTCTTAGTACTTTGTGTAAGTGGCATTTGTATGATTTAACTCAATCCCATTTGTTCTCTCCCTTGCCTTATTTTAAGGGGAACTGGGTTTCTGGGGATGAACCCAGGGTTTCATGTATGCTAAGTACACATTCTACCACTGACCTACACTTTGCTTCATTCAATGACACATACAATTGGAGTAGTTTGTTCAGAGTGTGATTATACTTCTTTTTGAGGCTACAAATTTAAAGATTTTCAATTTTCAATTCAGGCTATAATTTTTTTAAGCACCTACTCTCCCACCCCTCACCAAAACAACTTCCACTAACCTCTTACAGAGTTACTTGAAAAGCCAAGTGCAGAGCGCAGTCTGAGATGATAGTCTTAGTCATGTATATCTTTTCCACTCCAGTGCATTGACAGATTGCTGGCAGGTTGTTAAAGGTATTTTTGTTGTTGTTGTTGTTGTTGTTGTTGTTGTTGTTGTTGTTGTTTTAAATTCAAAAAGCAAAAGTAAAAGAGACTTTGAAATTAAGAAAGGGTACTTTAAGTGTTTCTACACAGTATGCATAATAGCAAGTAAGGAACATGTATTCATCTATTGGGGTCTACTACTTGTCTTTGACATCAGCACATTCCTAATAGACCAAACATCCCCTGAGCTGATGTCAAAGACAAGAGGACCTTGTTTTGCCTTGATCATATTTGTCACGTTACCCAAACCAGTGATTATACTGGGCCAAATTCTAGCACCATTACTTTTAAATTGGCTCTTAAGGTAAGACCTGATTCAAAGTTTGAAAAAGGCTGACATATACTCTTTTTTTTAGTTGAAGCCTAGGATCAGATACCCAGGGTATTGAGCTCTCCCACCGAGCTATACTCTAGCTCCTGATGAGTGTTGTTTTCAAAGGATACATGGTTTCATAGGCAATTTGTAGATTCAAAAAATGAATAAACTATTTAAAGAGAAATCATGTGTTTTAAAATGTATTTTCAAGATTGAGGATATCAACTAGTTGTTAGAGGACTTAGTACACACAAGGAAATTTTTGCTTTTGTAGATTATGAATATGAATATGAATACACTAAATGTCTCCTTGTCCATTTGCCCTAACTGTGAATAGGTTCCTGTAAGGGCACAAATTTATACCGTATGCTCATTGATGTTTGGATGTACCTGTGCTTGGTCTCTAGTAGTTGCTCAATAAGTAACTGGTGAGGGACAAATCTGGTGCAAACATTACGTGGGAGCTGATGATGCTGGTAAGCCTGCTATGGTTTTCTATAGTTACTAAGCACTTTCCCAGTCAGTACTGACTTCATTTGTGTTTTATGCCATTTGTTATCAAGAATGTATACTGATGTATATCATATAGTCAGTTTCTCTTGAAGGTATGAGTTACGCTTCTGTCTTCCACTTTTTTCTCTCGTAAGTCTCGTAAGTTATCGTTCATAAAGAAGGGGATTTGGTGTAGGAGGAAACTTCTTACCTCTCTTCCCCAAAGAAAAGAAGTATGTACAAATGGAATGGGTTTGTAACTTTCTCTTTTAGAAATTCTAATGGATTGAAGGCTATGTAAAAAAAAAACAAAAACAAAAACAAAAAAACCCAAGCAAACAAAAGCTTAGCATTTTGTGCCCACTCCCTCACCTACTTGCTGGAATTTTGTCTGGCTTGAAGGTCTTGTGCCTGCTATTAAGTCTGTGAGTTCCTGTGTGTATCAGTTCTGCCGTGCATGAAAGAGGCTGTTTTCCTTGGAGTCATATTCCATGGTTTTGTGATGGTTCTTCTTCCTCTTCAGCATGGATTCCTGAGCCTTGAGGGGAGGGAGTTCATAAAGACATTCCATTTAGGACTGAGTACTCCAATGCCACTCTCACTTTCTGCACATTGTCCAGTTGTGAGTCACTGTGTTAATTACCATCTACTATAAGAAAAAGCTTCTCATCCTTAAACAAGAAGCTATTTGTAACTGATACTTTCTGGGAGAGGAAAAATCAGTTTTCTCCAGTGGAGTGTCCCGGGGTATATCAGCTTGGGCTACATAAGAATGGGGTACTACTTTTTATTACTTTAATGCTTCAGTAGACTTTGGTAATTCCACATTTGTTTCTGTAAATTAAATAAACTCCTGTCTGAATCAGATCCCTCTATTGCACCTACATGACAGTGGTGCATGTGATCACTCTTTGTTTTTGTTTTTAAAACCCAACCATTGTCTGTGGAAAAGAGTCCAGGAGCAAATTTTTGCCTTATACTCTGTAGCTGTAATTCCTGAGTATGAAGTAATTGAATGTTTTGAAATAATTCCACTTAGGCTTCTTTGCTGGTATGTCAGGAAAACATTGAGGGGGATGGGCTATGGGTTTCAAATTTTTTTATATAAAATATTGAACATACTGTAGAATAAAAATTCAACACAAAAGCAGTTCTGTTTACAAAATCTTAAGGTGGCAGTCAGTATACAGCTTATATGATTTGGTTCCGTCTTTTGACTATGTGGCTTCCAGGGATTGAACTCAGGTTAGCAGGCTTGTTAGCAAGTGTTTTAACCCATTACCTCATAAATCTGAGTGGTTTTTCTGAAAGATGCTTCAGAAGTTTGATGTTAGCCATCCTCATTTAATCATTTGCCACTGCTGAGTGGTTTTTCTGAAAGATGCTTCAGAAGTTTGATGTTAGCCATCCTTATTTAATCATTTGCCATTTAATCATTTGATCAGAGTAGATGTGTAAAGCTTGCCATTGGATTTTTGTTTTGTTTTTAGACTTATTTTATGTGTATGAGCATTTGCCTGAACATATGAGTGTTACATTCATGTCTGGTGCCCAAGGAGGTCAGAAGAGGACAGACCCCATGGAACTGGAGTTACCAGTTACTGGCGTGTAGGTGCTAGGGATTGAATCTTGTCTTCTGCAAGTGTATTTAACTGCTCAGCATCTCTCTGGCCCCATTGCTATTGTTTTTAAGAACTTTGTATTGTGCATTTGTTATTTCTGGGCACAGATGATTGTTGGGGGATTTCTCTCTTCACTGTTCATCAAGATTGACAAGTCATAAGGGACACTTTCTAGTGCTTTATAGCATATTGTGGTATTTATCAGACAACTTATTTACTTTATTTCTTTAATTTTTTTTCTAGGAAGTTTGGTGAGCGGCCTCCACCTAAACGACTCACTAGGTAAGCATTTTACTAGCCATTCAAACATTGACTGTGCATATAGAGTGTCATTTTAGACACTAACATGAATGGTTCTTAGAAATCATTTAGATATAGTAATTACATCTTGAGCTTATTCCCACCCCTTTAATCCCAGTACTCAGGAGGCAGAGGCAGGCGGATCTCTGGGAGTTCGAGGCCAGCCTGGTCTCCAGAGCACGTGCCAGGATAGGCTCCAAAGCTACACAGAGAAACTCTGTCTCGAAAAAAACAACAACAACAAAAAGGATATACTTTAAAAATGAAAAAGTGAACTATTTTCAAAATCTCATCTTAAGTAATAGATTGTGAAAATAACAACTGTAACTGTTTAGCCAGTCACACTTTGATGATTAAGGGGAAGACAAGAGATTTAATGTATGTTTTCTGAAATGAATATTAAATATTACTTTCCCCCAATGAAAAGTAAACCTAAGATTTACCCACTTTCATGATAATATAGTGTTTTAACTTTCAGTTAACTTCTCAAGCATATATTTCAAAGAATTAATTTAAAAACTCATCAAAATTTTTGTCGGGTTGTAAAGTAAGGAAACCCAGTGGTCTTATACCCAGTGGTCTTGACAGTTTCAGCCCTCAGTGTTAGACTTAATCTTTTAAGAAGGAGGGGTGTGTGGGTATGGATGTGCTTTCTTTTGACCCTAAACTGGGATTCCCACCTATTATTGTTCTGCATCCTTTAACCCCACAATGTATTATATTACCTTAGACTTTAGAATTCTCTGTAATAGTTCTGTGGTGTTCTGTTGTAGCCACATCCTTCTTGTTTCATATTGATGAGGACTGTTAAGACTATTACCAAATAATTACTATTAAAATATTTATTAAAAACAATTGTGGGCTGGGCATGGTGGGGCACACTTCTATTCCATACTGTACCTGGCAGGCAGAGGCAGCTAGATCTCTGAGTTCAAGGCCAAACTGATCTACATAGTGAGTCTCATGCCATCCAAGGCTGCATAGTGAGATCCTATCTCAAGAAAGAAGGAAGGGAAAGAAAATTGTACTTAAGAGTGATGAACACAGGGCCAATTGATGGTTGCACATGCCTTTTTATCCCAGCACTTGGAGGCAGAGGAAGTTATGACTAAAACTATAGGAAGAAATAATGCCTGAACATATTTTGTTGAAAGCTTTTGAACCATAGATCCAAGAAAGTCAGTTAAGTCTCAAGTGTAAAAGTATGTTGAAGCACATCATGGTCAAATTGATTACTGGTGGTGAAGAGAAATAATTAAAAACAAGGGAAAAGATGGATTTCAAAAGAATAAAGATAAAGATTACAGCAGGGTTTTCATCTAATTTTGTTACAGGTAAGACAGCTTTAAAGTTAATTTAAAAGGGTGCAAATAGAGACTTTATACAACACTAAAAATATCATAAACAGACCTGAAGAATATTGAAAAAAATTCTTCCAAGCATAAAGGCAATATTGACTAGAAAACTGATTCTAATTTACTGGTCCAACAAGAAAGAGAACATTACTGCAGACCCTACAGATACCAAAGACTAATAAGCAAATACAACTTTTAGTCTATTTAATAACTTCTGAAGAAATGCTTAAGTATCTTAAACTAACAAACTGTCTAAGCTTGTTCAGGAAGAGGTTGATAACCCAAATAGCCTTATCTAAAGAGACTGAATTTGTTATTAAAAGCTTTCCAACAAAGAAACTGCAGACATAGGCTGGCTTCACTGCTGAATTCTACAAAGTGCTGAAGGGAGAAAATGCCACTAGATAACCTTTCTAAAAGTGGGGAGAGAATCTGTAGTTCTAGTTCATTTTGTGAGGGCAGACTACTCAGTTACCTAAGGTAGACAATGCTTGTAATATTACATTATGAGAAAGTAAAATTGTAGAATAACATCTCATGAGCAAAGATTTCTATTTAAGAGGACAGACTACTCCATTACTCATAATGTTACTAAAAGCATTATGAGAAAGTAAAACTTTAGACTAACATCCCCTATGAGCAAAGATTTCTATTCAAAAGTTCAAAAAAGGATTGCAGTCTGCATGCACAACTTGCTCTTCCTGACAGAATAAAGGATTTCAGAGACTCAGAAGGACAGCTTTGGGCAACTGAGAATCTCTTGTGGTGGTGGTATGCTGTGCTCATGCAAAAACCACCATAAGGTATGCCAATTAGATCTCAATAAAACTTTTAACATTTTAGTAACCCTTTTACATCTGAGATAACCTGGGAGACTAGCATATCTGCTGGGGAAGAATTCCACTAAGCTTTATTTCTCTTAAAAAGGAAAGTAGATATCTTTATTGTTGATGCAAACTTAGCAAAGCCAATCTAATGGCAAATGCAAATTGAAAACCAGTAACTAATTGTGTGGTAATTTTATTGAGTACAAACTTAGAATTGGTATATTTTTCTCATTAATTTTTATACTAAATTTAGTACCACCTAATACTATCTGTTTCTCCTTTAAAGTGATTCTGCTTTAGGTAAGCAATATCTTATTTGGCCAAAATATTTTAAGGAGTTTATCTCCACTGGGTTATAGAGAGTCTAATTTGTGGGCCATGTCTTCTCTTTTGAGGCACTTTCAAGGCCTACCCTGAGCTCTTCTTTCTTACTCCTGTTTCCAAAGTAAACGCTATCGGTGGCAGAGTCTCTCATTGGGGATGGAGGATGGGGGTTCTTTCTACACTATTTAAATTTTAATTAAAAGCGTAAATAATTGGAGTAAATACTATGCATTATTCAGCATGATTGAATTTTTTTTTTTAAAGAATTGCATTTTGTGTGTGTCTGTGTGTATGTATGTATGTGTATGTGTTACACTGTGCTTGTGGAAGTGCGAAGTCAGCTTGAGAAAGGAGAATATTCTCACTTTCTACAGGTGGGTCCTAGGGATAGAAATCTAAACATTCTTTCAGAGATAGTTTTGTTAATTTACTCCTTCCATAACTGCATAGTAGCTGCTAACTCATGCTCTTGCCAGAATTTGATTAGTAGTAGAGGAGTTCCTTTGTAAGGTTTACCATTACTTTAAAATTTGTATGACTGTTAGAATGATGTTTAGTTGTTCTCTCACTCAGAATATCTTCTGCTTAGGAGTAAAGCTTTTCAGAGAGACTATCTTCTCTGGCTCTTATGGAGATACCACTCTGTTCTTAAAAGTCCTATGCGTGAGACACATGTATTTTTGTAGACTCAAGCTAGGCCAATAACTGTTTTCAACAGTTTTTAGTAGTCAGACTATTCTCTCTCTCTGTTTAATTTGTTATTGTGTGGGAGCATCATGTGTCATGGCACATGTTTAGAGATGAGAGGACAGCTTACACGAGTAGGTTAATCTCTTCCAAAATTGTCAGGCTTGCAAGGCAATATCTACTTGTTGAGCCATTTTCCTGCCCCCCTTCTCTATTTTTACATAGTAAAGTGCTGCTCTTTCTTCTCTATACTTTTATGTAGTACGATGTTTTAACCCACTCATTCTCCTATTAGGTAAGACAACCCTGTATAAATGTAATTATAAACTTGATAGGTATTGCTGTGTATGGTTGAAACAGCTCTCACCTCAAAGGAATAAAAGGCAAGGTTAATCAGTAGCAAAATATAAGTGACCATGGCCCAGAACATTGATTTAGGTCTCTCCAAATACAGTGTTCTAATGTGAAAGCAGTTTCATGGAGTTTTTATGGTAACAGACAAAGAAAGTTATAATTCAGGGGATTTAAAAAATACACTCATGGAGCCAGACAGTGGTGGCACACATCTTTAATACCAGCATTTGGGAGTCAGAGGCAGGCAAGTCTCTTGAGTTCAAAAGCTAGGCTGATCTACAGAGCTAGTTCCAGGATGGCAAAAAGGCTATACAGAGAAACCCTGTCTCAATAAAACCAAACAAACAAACAACCATCCCCCAAAAAATACATTGATGGAAACATCAGAGAAGCAGGTTGCAGTAAGATGAGGAGATCCAGCACTCTTAGTCCTTTGGTGGAAAACTGGGGTTTTGTTGAGTTAATACATTCTAAAAGATTTTTATGTTTGTCAGGGTGTTAGGTCTAGCTTGACACAGAGCTTGTAGTGGGGATATGACCATTTAGTAGGCTTAAGATAGCCTCAAATTGATTGTAATTAGGCTTTGAAACTGCAAAATTCTAACCTTCCCACATCTTTGGTTCCATCAGCTTGTGCAGATAGCTTCTTCCCAAAAATTCTCCTTTACAAATACATTGAGGTTTACATTAAAAATACCAAGTCAGTATGCTACATTAATGATAAACAATTCACATAGAAAGCCTTTACAGTTCAGTGCTTCTCAACTTTCCTAATGCTGTAACTCTTGAATACAGTTTCTCCTGTTGTAGTGACCCCCAACCATAAAAATTCTTTTTGTGGCTACTTCATAATGCATTTTTGCTACTGCTTTAAATCATAATGTAAATATCTGTATTTTCTGGTGGTCTTAGATAAACTCTGTGAGAGTGGTCATGACCCCCAGGTTGAGAACCACTGCTTCACACTGCATTCAGCATAAGCTAATCATACTTGAAGGGAATCTGGAGATGAGACTGGGGTAGAGCAGGAAGGTACCTGGCATCCCTAGAATTCATGGGACCATGTTTGCAGTGATAGGGCTGGAAATCAAGATGGTGTCCTGACCCAGTGCTCCCTTTTGGTTATGTGTTTCTAGAGACCTCTCTTCCCAGTTTGTCTCTGCACACACAGTGAGTGGTGGTCTTAACATGGTCAAACCAAAGTAAAATCTGCAGATTTGTTAAGACACAGGAGTGCTCGTGGCTCATATCTCACAGACTGGCTTTAAAAGGTGTGTGTGGGGGGTGCGGTGGGGGGGTGGATCACCAGAGTGAATAGAATTTGTTTCTTAGCTATGTGGTTAAGATTTCAAGCTGTTTACTCATCTATCCACTAAAAACCCATATAGAATGAAGGGACATTTTGACTTGTTTAGAGTGGAGATGAAGAGATGTCTTGCTAGGATCAAACACTTCAATTTCTTCAGCTTTGGTGATCAAGGGTACTGGGAGTTTGTTTACTATTAGTACTATTCCCATACTGTCAACTTCAAAATTAGCCCTTGAGGAAACTTGTTCACAGAAAACAAAACAAACAAAAAACCAAAAAAGATTTTGGTTTAGTCCGCAAGAGTCTATTTGGCAAATCCCTGTTGCAGACAACTATTACTAATGACTACTACCAGACTCTAGTTACTGTTCTATTTGTACTAAATGAAGGGAAGAAGGAAACTGAAGCTGCCCCAGGCAGCCATAACACCAAGAGGAATTAACTCTGAATAGTTGTTTCTAGTACTGAACACTAGTACAATGCCAAGCACCTAGAATGCGGTAGCCCTCAGTAAGTTGTACATGGGAAGATGGATTATGTGTGCTATCAGAAACTGTGCTGCTCAAATTGGATAAATTGCCCAGTAACACCCCAATGTCCTTTATCCAGCATGCCTACAAAGCTTTTGTGGAAGTCTCCATCTTCGTTCTGCAGCCTTTGTAGTTAAGAGCTTGGAATGGCTTTTAAAAAAGAAAACAGTAGTGATATCTGTAACTTGCTGACATGAGCTACTTGTCAGTAAGGGTTTAACTTACTTTGAGGTATGCACTGCCCTCATAGCTTCCCCAGAGGAGAAAACCCTCAGATTCAATAAGTGGCAGAGTTAAGATTCAGACCCTTGTTGCATTTCATAGCAAAGCTGTGGCTTAGCCATTGTACTACCAGTAAGTAGAGGTAGCTTTGTCTTTGAGGTAGGTAGCTCAACTACTAAGCTTTACATCCTGGCTCTTCTGTATCATTTCAAGAAAGTCAACCTTTTCCCCATTTCTAATGTGCTTAGTCATATGTCACCCTCAAGGTTGTTGGTTGTATTGATACTTGCTTAGAAAAATAACTAGTACAGCCTCACCACTCAGTGTCAGTCTTTCAATAGTGATACCTTTGTAGAAAGAATCTATACCTGCCTCAAGTTCTTTTACTTTTAGCCTCTATATTCTGACTGGTAAGATAGGAAAACCTGATCGAATACCCCTTAAGTGATATAACAGGGACCATAAATGTTAATAGAATTTAGTTTGGGAAATATACTTACAGTTAAAACTTTTCAAGTGTATAGCTACTTCTCAAATTTCCTGCCTGGGACTTTTGTACAAATTTTGACAAAGTGTTGGCTTTCTCTTGACTTCTTGTTTTTATCTTGTTTTGTTTGTTTATACTTTTGTCCTTTTTTTTTCTTGTATACTAGGGAATCTTCTTCACTCTCTCTTCCACTTTATTCTTTTGAGCCAGGGTCTTTTAATCAAATCCAGAACTTGCTAATATAGCTGGTCTTACTCCATGGATCTCCTGGCTCTGCTTTCAAGGCTGGAATTACACATGGGTTACCATGCTTTCCTGACATTTAAATGAGTTCTGGGAATCCAGCCTTCTTGCAAAGGTTTTCGCCACTGAGCCGTATTCCCAGCCCCCTTGTTTTATGTTTTAGCATTCCCACCCCCAGTCTTACTCTCTGAACTGTCAGTCACCTGCCATAGTAACATCTCCAATCCTTGCCATGGCCAGCCTTTCCAGTGCCCTTGTCATTTGAGGACTAACCCCAATGCAAGGTCTTTTGTCCCTTATTCCCTGACCTAGACAGACACTATGTTTCTAGGCTTTTCTTGCACACCTTTGCTAGTAGTACCCTGCTTATTCTGTTCTCCTGTTTCCTTTGGTGGTAAAGGTCCATTCTTTCTGCCTACACTGTGGTATCACTTTCCATGCCTTGAAGCTAAAAGATTTTTTTTTGAGTAAGAAAAAAAATGTCATTTAGGTTATCTAATTTGACTCCTTTAGCCATCCTGAGCTAGGTGGGTTGTGTTAGCTCCCAATATTCAGGTATGAAAATAAAAGCTAGGTGAGGCTCAGTGGTTTGTCCAGGCACTTTAGTGCACAAGTGACAAGAAATCTATAATTCCCTACATTTAATAGCTTTTGACAGTTGACAGCTTATTACTATCATTTGGATATATATCTGTATGGTGTGTTTGTCTTTATTTGTAATGTAAGTAGAATAATTAAAATTTAGTAAAATATTTCTTGATTATCCTAACTTAATTTTTTGTTTGATTTTTTTTTCTTCTTCTTCTTGACAGGGTTTCTCTGCGAAACCCTGGTTGTCCTGTCCTAGAACTCATAGACTCATGTCTTAATGTTTCTATTGCTTCCAGGAGACACCATGACCACAGTGACTCTTATAAAGGAAACATTTAATTGGGATGGCTTACATTTTCAGATGTTTAGTCCATTGCTATCATGGTGGCATGTGAGCAGACATAGTTGTTAGAGACTGAGCTGAAATTCCTACATCTTGGCTTGCAGGCAACTTGAAGTGGTCTGAGACACTGGGCTGTGTTTTGAGCATAGGAGACCTCAAAGCTTCCTCCCACAATGACACACTTCCTCCAGCAAGGCCACACCTACTATAATAGGTCCATACCTCTAATCGCACCATTCTCTTTAGAGGCATTTTTCTTCAAACCACCACAACCAGACTGGCCTCAAACTCAGATATCTGCCAGCCTTTGCCTCCCAGAGTACTGAGTTTAAAGGCATGTGTCACCACCACCCAGCGACTTTAATTTTGTGATGTGTAAAACATCTCAAGAATTGAGATTCTGCTTAAACCTATAAGAGTTTTTACCCAACACCCCCCCCACCCCCCGGTGTGGCACTTAGCTCTGACAGGATGATTGAGTGAATAAATGCACATTGAAGTTTGTATAAAACATTTGCTTAATAAGCATGTTGCAGTTTTAAATTGATGTAATATTGAATTTTTTGAAAGTTGAATACAATTTTCAGCAATTTCAGTTAGCCTCTGAATTTAATATATTTAGCAACATCCTTTGGGCAATCATATGTTTGTGAATAAGTGACAGGTCTTTCTAAATCTTTACATGGGACTGTTAGTTGGGGATCAAGCAATAGCAATTTCGGGATTTGATGTTTTGTTGAGACTTAAGATGTCAAAGGATAGAGAACAAGATAAGCTATAGCAGTGCAAAGCTGCCATCTGTCTGTCTATCTATCTATCTACTATCTACCTATCTTTTTTTTCGAGACAGGGTTTTTCCTGTGTAATAATGGCCAGGGCTGTCCCAGAACTTACTTTGTAGACCAGGCTGGCCTCAAACTCACAAAGATCTGCCTGCCTTTACCTCTCAAGTGCTGCGACTAAAGGTGTGCACCACCATACCCAGCTGTAAATGTTAATTTTCAACAACTAAAATGCATAGTGAAAGTGGGTATGTATTGTCCTTTGTACAAGTTTCTTTTAAGGTAACCCATGTATTTGTTTTCATTTGCTTATTTAAAAATTGTGAAAGATTTCATCAAAAATACCATCCCTAAAATAATAATATTTATATTTGATTCCAGGGAAGCTATGCGAAATTATTTAAAAGAACGAGGGGATCAAACAGTACTCATTCTTCATGCAAAAGTTGCACAGAAGTCGTATGGAAATGAAAAACGGTAAGATTATTGGGGAATAGGTACTTACTGTACAATTTGCATATGATTTATATTTATGCCTGAGGCTATATTTATTGCTGGGCTTATTTGCATAATAGAAAATGAAGAGAAGACTTATCTCTTAAAAGGGACAAACAGTGAACTGTGCTATGTTCAAGTCAGAAAAATTTAGAGAAGACCATCTGGCCACATCCCTAATTTTGTAAAATTAAGTCTGTTTTTCTTTGGGCCTGTGTTCCAAGAATCTCAGTGACACATTAGCTCATTTGCAAAGCACTTTTCCTTTGGGAATAAAGTGTAATTTGGTAAACAACTGTAACCTCCCCTCCCCCTGGTGCCATTTTAAAAAGGAAGAGACAGTTGTGACACAATTCTGTAATCCTCAACACTGGAGATGCTGAGGCCAGGAGGATGATGGCAAGTTCAAACGTACTCTGGGTTACAGAGTGAGTATAAGTCCTGTGTGAGTAACTTTGACACTGATGCAGAGAAGTCTAGGGATGGGCTTGAGAGATGGCCCAGTGGTTAAGAGCGCTTGCTGCTCTTCCAGGGGACCTCTAAAGCTCCTGTCTGCACTGGCTATAACTCCAGCTCCAGGGGAACTGGGATCCTCTTCTGGCCTCCATAGCCAACCATACATATGTGGCACACATGCACAACCTTTTTTCAGGGGAGGGAGGCTGGGGGCGTTTCCAGACAGGGTTTCTCTGTGTAGCTTTGGAGCCTGCCTGCCCTGGAACTTGTTCTGTAGACCAGGCTGGCCTCAAACTCACAGATCCTCCTGTCTTTGCCTCCCAAGTGCTGGGATTAAAGACATGCGCCCACCACCGCCTGGCTCACAAATCTTTTTTAAAAGGTCTGGGGATATAGCTCAGTGATAGAGGGTGTGCCGGTATGCACAGGGCTCTGGGTTCAATTCCCAGTGACATGATAGGTAGGTAGGTAGATAGGTAGGTAGGTAGGTAGGTAGGTAGGCAGGCAAGCAGATTTTGCATAGATAATAATACATAAGTAAAGGCTAAAAGATTATAACTGTAAATGTGTCTTGAGGTCAGTTTAAGTTGAGCTTTGGAGTCATTGTAAAGAGCTCTCAGCTTCCTTAACCCTATACCTGACAGTTGAGAAGGTTCACCTGCTACATAAACTGCATATGGCTGCAGTGTGCTATAGGCCCATCTGCTTTGGAGGCTAGGTCAAGAGGATTACTTGAGCCCAAGAATTTCTGGGCCACATTGCAAGGTCTATCTAAGAAAAAGAAAGACAAAGCCCCTTCATACTCAAACCTAAGTGGCCACTACAGAAATTACTTGTAAAAGTAATTATCGAATGTTATTTCTGTGTAGTCTTTTTCATGAAAACTCATATATCATTGTGTTTGGATTAATTATGGATCTGTTGTTTTGGGTTTTTTTTGTTTGTTTGTGTGTTTATTTGTTTTTTTTAGTTGTTGTTAGAGATCAAACCCAGAGTTTCATACATACAGCGTAAATGGTCTACCATTTGGTCACATCCTCAGTTCAACATACTCACTCAGGTGCAGTTGTCACAGAGTGGGGTATGGCAGTGAGCAGAACCTGGCCTGCTAGACCGGGTCATTGTTGTCTCGGAACCTCATCTTTGCTGTTTTCACTTGATTCCAAGAATTTTAAGGCATTGTCTTTCAAACAGCATGTTTTGTTAAACATTTATTGGTAAAGATAACTTGCTTGTCGGGGGTGGGATGTCAAAAGTTTTTGGGATTGGTTGGCTAGGGAAGATACCTTACTCTAGCAGAAGGAATGAAAGTGTGATTTTGGAGACTGGGTTGAAAAGAATGAAAGAAAGCCTAGAATGTGTGACAAAGGAAATGGCCTATGAACAAAGTGGGGAAGTACAAATGTTTAATTAAATATGGACTGCAGTGGCTTATCAAGTTATTGTAAACATTTTCATGATTGTCTTTTATTACAGTAGCCTATTTTTACCTTCTATTATTTGACTATGTCTTAGTAACCCCAGTTAAATACTTGAAGAATCTTAGCTTTTGACCCCTGCCCCCAAAAAAGACAGCAGCAAAACCAACTTGTGAATAGTTATAAAACTACTCTTTTGAATCATGTGTACTGTTAATGTTTCCAGGGTAAATATTGCTACTTTACAGGAAGAACCTCATTGACTTACTTTGTGTATATAAGGCATTAAGGCCCTCATTAGTGCTTTACAGGATTGGACATAATGAGGAAGTCTCTTCCTTGATCTCTGAGCTGAAAAGAAAGTAAAGCTTTTTGAATTGATAATTATTCTCAAAGAGGATGAATAGTGAAAACAATATCTAGGATCTGTACATCCTACTGTTATTATTATTATTCAACTTTTCTAAATTTGCTGCCCAGGGTCTGGCAGACTGTGGTAGTGGTAGGATGGAATTCCAGGCCTTTCTCATTAAGTACACTCTCTAATGAGCTACAAACCCAGCCCTATTTTGTTTTAAGTGACATGTGAAACTTGATCACTGATTCATAACTAACTTGAGTTAATTGCCCTTTTGTTCATGAAGTTGGTACTAGAAATTCAGGTTTAGGTATGTGTTTGTTCATTCATTTATCCATTTGTTTGTTTGTTTGTTTATTTATTTATTTATTTGAGGCAGGGTTTCTAAGTGTAGCCTTGGCTGTCCTGGAACTTGTTCTGTAAACCAGACTGGCCTTGAACTGGCCATGTTTGGGTTTTCAAATAGTGAAAATTTAGTGTATATGTGTAGTGTTTATTACAAAAACAGTTCTTACCTTAATTCTAGAGCCAACATGAATGGTCATGGCTCAGGAACACAAATTTAGGTTGCTTCAAATGTTATGTTCTAGTGTGAATATGCTTTGTCAGGTTTTATAGCTACAGAACAAAAAGTCACAAATGAAACTTTTCATGGTTAGGTGGGTTACAGCAAAGACTATACTGCTGTCCCACGACATTCTTAGCTATTGGATTGGTGAAAGCTAGTGATCTGATAGTAATGTTCTAACAGATTTTACGTGATAGTCTCAAGGCACTGGTAGGCAGTGAATGGCTGTTAAGGAGACTGAAGGTAGCCCAAGAGCCCTGGATCTGCAACATCCCAGCTGTACCCAATCATTGCATTCTAATCAATCAGCCTTGGTGACATGGGTGTGACCTTTTCCTGGGAACTATAGTTCACACTGGTCAGTTGTTTTATAAGGAAAATGGGAGTGCTTCTCACTGCTAAAGAAAACTGTGCAAGGCTAGTTGTGCATTTTGACAGGAAATAGCTTAACTAGCAGCTCCAATATTGAATCAGAGAAGTGTTCTACCAATGCTAGGATGGAGCATTTTAAGGAAAATGAAGATAAGGGACTCTAAACATACCTTTGTTTCCATTGGTTAGTTATCCTTGGTGCCAGAATTGGAATTCCTTTTTTTTTTTTTGTTTTTGTTTTTGTTTTTCGAGACAGGGTTTCTCTGTGTAGCTTTGGAGCCTATCCTGGCACTCGCTCTGGAGACCAGGCTGGCCTTGAACTCACAGAGATCCGCCTGCCTCTGCCTCCCGAGTGCTGGGATTAAAGGTGTGTGCCACCAACGACCGGCCAGAATTGGAATTCTTACAACCACATCTAATTCTAGGGTTTTAAAATTTTATTTCTGTAGTTTTAAAAAAATAGAAATTCACATTTTTATTTCCCATTAAGTGAAATTCCAAAGGAATATGCTATCACCTGGATTCAGTGTTGATGCTGACTTACATTTTATTAGGTTGGCAACAACCAGGTGTCAGGGTCAAGGAATTAAAAATGCTGGGAAAAGAGTAATCCTTGTGAACTTCACTCAGTCTCATCCCATCCTCCCCATTATTAGAGGAAACCAGGTTAGACCTCACTGAAGCATGGGGCAAACTTGTTAATCACATGGCTGCAAACATGGGTAGTGCTGCTTTTGCTTTGCTTTTCAGTCTCTGCAGTTTTGACAAAGCATTCCATTAGGTTAGTTGCTTCATTTATTCTTTTTTTTTTTTTTTGACAAAGCATTCCATTAGGTTAGTTGCTTCATTTATTCTTTTTTTTAAAAAAAAAAATACTTGTTAGGTGTTAGTGTAAGAAGGTTCTATAAAAAAATCAATTGTAGTATTTAATTTATGATGGCTGAGACCTAGTGAAGTAATAAAAGGATTTGTTAGTCATTGTAAGAAATACAGGGCCACAGGACTGCAATGGCTTATCAAGTTATTTTAAATACTTTATGATTGCCTTTTATTACAGTAGCCTGTTTTTACTATCTTTTATTTGACTATGGCTTAGTCATTCCATAACCCCAGTTATACACTTGAAGAATCTTAGCTTTTGAACCCCCCATAAATAATTAAAAGAAAGGAAAAAACCAACTTGAAGTAACTACTTTCTATTTATTTTTTAATCATGTGTATTGTTAATATTTCCAAGGTAAACACTACTTTACATTACAATTAGAACCCTGTTGGATTGCTGTGTGTGTGTGTGTGTGTGTGTGTGTGTGTGTGTAAGGGTGTGTGTGTGTAAGGGTGTGTGTGTGTAAGGGTGTGTGTGTGTGTGATATGCCCTCCTGTGACTGGATTGTTCTGCTGAGGTTTCCTTGTGGATTAAAAGAGGTGATGGGTCTGGTCTCCACTCTGGAAAGAGGAAGGTTCATCCTCCTTGCTGATCCAGGCTCAGGCTCTTTTAAAGAGTTGCTAAGGCATAAGGCATGAGGTAACCTGGGGACATGACCACAGATACTTTGGCCATGTCCTGTCATAAAAAATAATTCCACTGACTAATGCTAAAAATATCTGGCCAGGAAATTTCATTTAAAAAGCTTAAATATTCTTTGTATTAGCATCTTTAGTATAGCATATTTAGTATACACATCGATGGTAGTCATCTATTTTACTTTTTCATTAAAAATCAGTATGGTTTATAAAAAATGAAACTTTGTAGAAAGATTATTTCCTCTAGAGGCAGTGTTAACTTACCTTTTGTTATTAATATGATATTAAT